TGCTACACTCAGTATGCCAGCAAGTTTGGAAAACTCAGCAGTGGCCAGAGGATAGGAAAAGATCAGTCTACTTCCCAATCCCAAAGAAGGGCAGTGCCAAAGAATGCTCCAACTACTGTACAATTGCACTCATTTCACACGCTAGCAATGTTATGCTCAAAATCCTTCAAGGTAGGCTTCAGCAGTATGTGGACCGAGAACTGCCAGAAGTACAAGCTGGATTTCGAAGGGGCAGAGGAACTAGAGACCAAATTGTGCTGGATTATGGAGAAAGCCAGAGAGTTCCAGAAAAACATCTACTTCTGCTTTATTGACTATGCAAAAGCCTTTGACTGTGTGGACCACAGCAAACTATGGCAAGTCCTTAAAGAAATGGGAGTGCCTCACCACCTTATCTATCTCCTGAGAAATCTATACATGGGACAGGAAGCAACAGTTAGAACTGGATATGGAACAACTGATTGGTTCAAACTTGGGAAAGGAGTACGACAAGGCTGTATATTGTCCCCCTGATTATTTAACTTATATGCAGAATACATCATGCGAAAGGCCAGACTGGAGGAATCCCAAACCAGAATAAAGATTGCCACAAGAAATATCAACAACCTCCGATATGCAGATGATACCACTCTGATGGCAGAAAGTGAGGAGGAATTAAAGAACCTCGTAATGAGGGTGAAAGAGGAAAGTGCAAAAAAATGGTCTGAAGCTCAACATAAAACCCCCCCCCTAAGATCATGGCCATTGGTCACATCACGTCCTGGCAAATAGAAGGGGAAGATATGGAGGCAGATGATCACTGGAGATGGTGACAGCAGCCACAAAATTAAGACACCTGCTTCTTGGCAGGAAAGTGATGACAAACCTAGACGGCATCTTAAAAAGCAGAGACATCACCTTGCCGACGAATGTACGGATAGTCAAAGCTATGGTTTTTCCAGTAGTGATGTGTGGAAGTGAGAGCTGGACCATAAAAAAGGCTGACTGCCGACAAATGGATGCTTTTGAATTGTGGTGCTGGAGGAGGCTCTTGAGAGTCCCCTGGACTGCAAGGAGATCAAACCTATCAATTCTAACGGAAATCAACCCTGAGTGCTCACTGGAAGGACAGATCCTGAAGCTGAGGCTCCAATACTTTGGCCATCTGATGAGAAGATAAGACTCCCTGGAAAAGGCCCTGATGTTGGAAAAATGTGAAGGCAAGAGGAGAAGGGGACAAGAGAGGACGAGATGGTTGGACAGTGTCATCGAAGCTACCAACATGAATTCGACCAAATTCCGGGAGGCAGTGGAAGACAGGAGGGCCTGGCGTGCTCTCGTCCACGGGGTCATGAAGAGTCAGACATGACTTAATGACTAAACAAGAACAAATTACCCAGGACAGCTGATTTTCAGCTCCACCTAATTATTTCACCAGTCAGTATAAGTAATGATGACAGTGGATTGTTCCATTCACTTCAGGCTGTCGACACAATATAAATATTTGCATCCTCTCTCTGAGAGAGGAACTCTTATGAGACCTGTTGTGTGAAGAATTCTGTTGAAAAGTGTTCGAGAGGAAGTCCACCAAGGGATGGGGCCCTGCTTGAAAATGTTAACTATTGTGTATTTTGTTGTTGCTGGGTGTTTGGGGAAAACATATGGCAGAAGATGTCATGTATCCAGTGTTAGAGTCAGATTCAGCTGACTTCAACCAATCTGCTTGGCTTTTGAAATCTATAATGGGGGAAGGTATCATCCTGTTTTTTTGTCTCTGACAGCAGACCATATTTTTCCAGTCCTGAAAAGCTTCCCTTTGTTCTGCTATCACTGAAATGTCAGTCTTGTTGGTGTTTGTGTCATAGATATAAAATAATGGAATTGCCTTTAATTTTGCTTTTCACTCTATTCTTTTCACAGAATGAAAAGACACAAGTTCTGCTATGGTAATCCAGCAGGAAAGCGATTCCTGATCTTGTTTGTCATTGTGTGGCTGTTTTTGCTGCTGAAACTTCTCAAAGTTGAGGAACTATTGTTCTCTCACAAGGATACTTACTTAGTGGAACCCTATTTAAGCACCTCGTCGTTTGTGAAGAACAAGTACACCAACTTCAACCAAGACGTCCAGTATGAGATTAACTGTTTCCTCTTGTACAATCAAGAGCCTGAGGAGGTTGGAAAGTCATTAGAGATAAGGAGAAAAAGGATAATCGATTTAGATGATGAAGATGTTGTTGCAATTACTACTAACTGTCAAGTATACCATACAATAAGAGAGTATCATTTAAAACCTCTTTCCCAGGAAGAGGAAGTATTCCCATTAGCTTATTCTTTGGTTGTTCACAAAGATGCCATAATGGTTGAAAGACTCATTCATACAATATATAGTAGTCAAAATGTCTACTGTATCCATTATGACCAAAAGTCATCTAGCACTTTCAAGCGTGCTTTGGAGAATTTAGCCAAATGCTTCCCTAATATTTTTATTGCATCCAGATTGGAGGAAGTGGAATATGCAGCTATTTCAAGGCTCCAGGCAGATCTGAATTGTTTATCTGATTTACTTAAATCTTCCACTCCATGGAAGTATGTAATTAATTTGTGTGGTCAAGATTTTCCTCTGAAATCAAACTTTGAGCTGGTATCTGAACTTAAGAAGTTAAATGGAGGAAACATGTTAGAGACAGTCAAACCAAGCAGCAGTAAAAGAGAACGGTTTATCTATCATTATGAACTCCAGAATACGCCTTACAAATACATGAAGATGCCTGTGAAAACTAATATCTCTAAGGAGCCACCACCTCATAATATTGAAATGTTTGTAGGCAGTGCTTATTTTGTTTTATGCCGGGCTTTTGTGCAGTATGTCCTTGAAAGTCCTCTCGCTCAAGATTTTTTTGAATGGTCTAGAGACACTTACTCACCTGATGAGCACTTTTGGGCAACACTTGTTCGAGTGCCTGGAGCACCTGGACAAGTTTCAAGGGATGCTCATGATATCACAGATCTTCAGAGCAAAACCCGTTTAGTAAAATGGAACTACCTTGAGGGCCATCTCTATCCCCCTTGCACTGGCACACATCTTCGCAGTGTATGCATTTTTGGAGCGGCAGAACTCAGGTGGCTTATAAACTATGGGCATTGGTTTGCCAATAAATTTGATTCAAAAGTGGACCCTGTTTTAATAAAATGCTTGGCAGAAAAGCTTGCAGAACAGCAGAAGGAATGGGTTGTTTTGTCTTCTGAAAAGAAATTTATACGCAAAACATCTACAGGTGTCTCTTCATAATACTGTATACCTGTAGTTGAACTTTATGATTTTTAAAATAAAAAAAAATAAAAATTGCTGAATTGAGCCATAGTATTACTCAGACATACTTCTCTAAGCAATTCTCTGGTCTCTTTTGGTGAGGTCTAGACCTATTGCTACTCGTGCAAAAATGTCCTAAGCTATATTTGCTCGGGTCCTTATTGCAAAGGTAGGAATGTGGAAGGTGAAGGCACCTTGCAGCAACAAGAGAGAGAGAGAGAGAGAAACTTGAGTCTTGATTGATGTTGACATGAGTCATTGGTTTCCAGTCTTGTGACTTTTGGGATAAACATCCCGAATACTTGGCAAACATGTAAAATTATTGTACAGTATGCTGTTGTGTGCTGGTACCTTGTTACTGTATACTGTATAAGGATTTGTGGTAGAGCTGGAAAACCTCCTGCCCTAGGGTTGAATCCAGTTCTTCTGAGTTGTTGTTAGTTTCAGAAAGAACATTAAGCTAATATATTCTAGTATTCTTGGCCCTACCTTTTTGCTGTTGATCCTATCCAAGTGTGCCCTCTTGAGAATTTATCTGGAATTGAACTTGACACGTAGGCTGAAGAGGTTCCCCACTTTTGTTATATGCACTGGGGTGTAAATCTCAGACTAACATTAGAATGAAAGAAGAAGTCGAAGATGGTTCTGATCTGCTCCTAAAATAATTTACAGGGAAACACCATTAGAACAAAGCAGCCATTCTCCTTAATTCAAGGATGAAATAAACGGCCATATGAGACAATCATTCATAACCACAAACTGGTCACTTCTCTGCTGTGGGGATGTTCTAGCCAAGCAGGTTAAGACTGGAGGGGAGTAGGTGGTTTCATCTGGATAGATTCTCTCTCTCACACACACACAGACACACACACAATCTCTCTGGAACTCCCCCTCCCCCAGTGGTGCTCCTTAGTATGAGAACCATTGGCTTAACCCATGTAAAACACAAAGGTCAACGTCTTTTTGTGTGTGTGCGGCCCTAATTAGAGTAGTTCCATTGAACCAATAGAGATTTGGTAAGTCAAATTTTAGATTTGGATTTTGGCCTGCTTCAGAACCTGTCTACAGGCACACATGATTACGGAAGATGAGACCCAATTATCTTGCATTTTGTATATTCACTATTGGGTGCTATGCAACATAAGTGTGAAATATTATCAGAATAGACTCTCTCACTCTGCACTGTTAAATTTGAGTGTGGAGAGGGGCAGGGAGTACAATCAGTACATTGGATTTTTATTTTTTTGTGATAATTTTACAGAATATTTTATTATTTTTGTGATTGTATTATACAAGATGGCCAAGGAACTTTTGAATGCATTTTCCTGGTGCTCATGTTTCTTCTGTACCTGCCACTGCCATGATCTACTGGTGATTAAAAAAATTTTTTTTACACTGTAGGATACATTACAGTACATGGTTGAACTGTGGTCTCAGTAGCGAGATTCTTTGGATTCCTTGGTCTTTGAACTTACATATGTAATTCAGTGTCTGTTCTTTTTGTGCAATAATAATTAACATTGGGGGCTTGTTCAAATGTTCTATATTATGACATGATTTTTTTTTACTTGTAACTGTTTCACAAAGGGAATACATATATCTTCCTTCTCCCCCAGCAGTTCTAGCATTGCTGAGGTTCTAGAATTCCATGTGCACTTTGGCTTTGCTTTATTAAATGCTCATCTCTCCTTTCTAGTTATTGAGATCTTGGAGTGGAGATGATGTACCATATGGGTGGGCAACATGTGGTCCTCTAGAGCAGTGGTCCCCAACCATTTTGACACCAGGGACCAGTTTAGTTGAAGACCATTCTCCCAAGGACCGTGGTTTGTGTGTGTGTGTCTGAGCTCATAAAGGAAATGGCAAGCAGGAGCAGCAGCAATTGAAGCTCCGCCTCCTGTTAGATCAGCAGTGGCTTAGAACCTCCTATTAGATTCTAATGCCACAGGCACCGCTGATCTAGCAGCAGCAGGAGGGAAGTGGGGAGTGAACACCTCCTGTCAGATCAGAAGTGGCATTAGAACCTAATAGGAGCTCGCCACTCACCTCCTGCTTGCCACTTACCTCCTGCTTGCCACTCATCTGTCCTGGTGGCCTGGTCCTTCCAAGGCCACGAACCAGGACCGATCCACAGACTGGGGGGTTGGGGACCCCTGCTCTAGAAGAAGTCAGTCTCATCCTTTCTTACCATTTGATGTACTATCTATGATTGATGATGGTTGTAATCCAACAACATTTGGAGGGCCATGGATTGCATTATCTCCATGTACCCTTACTGGACAGTGCATGGCAAATCAGATGCTAATTACAAGATAAGGCACGACACACAGCCATGTAAATCTGGTTAGTATTCCAGGAGTTTATTTCTGATTGGCACATGAAATACTGGCAACAAGACACATGGATTGAAATCCTTTTGCTTAGTGTAGTACGCCCCAACTAGAGTAGACTCATTGCATCAGTGGGGATCTGGTGAATCAATTCCTCCACAAGTCCAAATGGTTCTGCTCTAGTAGTGGGTCACTTTAGTGTAGGTAAGTCACAATTTGAGTAGGCCCATTAAAGCAGTGGAATTTATAGAGGGGTTGACTCGTCAAATCGCCACTGATTCAATGGCTTTACTGTAGTTGGGATTTACTATGCTAAGCAAGATTTCCGGATTGTTTCCCAAGCCAGCCCTTGCTGAGGTCTTTAATGACTTAGTGTTATTTAATAGTTTTCAGATTTTCCAGGCCTGATTCTCCTCTGCTTTCCTGTGCACCCATGAGTCCTTTCAAAAGAGGCAAATGATAAGCTGAAGCAAAGCTTGGGGCATCCTTCTCTGTTCCTTCCCTCTCTTCCCCTTTCTTTGGAAGGCTGTGTACTCCCTGTTTCTACTCTTTTGCTTATGTTTTAATCAAAAAATAGATCCTTCTCGCAAGAAAGCTAGAACTTAAGAAAAGTCACCTTTTTTGGTCCCTGATGACTTAGCTGTTCTTGGGTGGGTGGGTTAATCTCCCCCAAAATACATTTTCCAAATGCTGTGCAAAAGTATTTCCTTCCCCATTGTGTTTTTATCATTCTTATAATACAGGTCTAGGACCACATCTATAGATTTCTGCCATTCTACAGCATTACTGGAAATTATAAGTGTGATCACATCATTGATCACATCAAGAAGAAACATTATTGCCCACTGTTAAAGAAATGTCTATATGATTTCCAACTTACAAACTTTTGAAATAAAATTTTAAAAAGAAAAAGCATAGGAATTAAGAATGGTAAAGACCTATGTATCTCAGAAGAATTGGTGCTATCTTTGTTCCTTCAACTTAAACAATACTAAAGAGAGCCTTTGCCCCAGAGGAACAGAATGTGATATACATTTTACCCACAGGATAGTAGTCCCCAGATTTAGAAAAACCATAGTCTTCATAATACTAAGTGAGACCTAGATTTTGTTACCTCACCCAAAATTCATTGTACTCTATGACAAAGAATGATTATTCAGAGCTACCTCTGTGTAATGTCGAGCTCATTCCAAGCATCTGTATTCAGCTGCTCTTGGACAAGGTGGTAATTGGATAGTTGTGAAAAACTGTTTTTCATATTTTCTGACTTGATGGCCCAGTCTGTCCATGATATAGTTTGTTACTGCATCATAGTTGTTGAATTCAAGTGGCTTGTCCTTTAAATAAAATAGGGCTTACCTAGATAGTACATTTATCCTCTCCTCTTTATGCTGCATGGTGCCTAACGAACATAGGTCTAACTGGGATTTATGATCACATGGATTCTTAAAACCTCAATTTTCTTCTCTTTAAAGAATCAGCTACTCTTTTAGAAATGGTTCAAAGTATTTCAGACATCTTGAAGAAATGCTTAAACAGTGATATTCTCTGTTGAGTTTTTGTTGTCACTTTGTTATAATATATTAGCCTTAAATTGAAGCTTCTGATGGCAGCCATATCTACTTCAGAAATCTGCTGTCTTTAGAAACAACTTTTAAATATCTTGAGGAAACCTTTTAGAAATTATTTTCTCTGCTGGGTATTTGCTTCTGTTGTTGCTTTAGTACTTTAGTGCTAATTTAATTATTCTGATCCAAGAAATTCTTGCTGCCTGAACTCTGTCCCCAGTACAAACTGGAACTGCCTCCCCCCATAGGAGTGGTTTTAAAAAACCCCAAAAGCCAGAGTTTTGATAATCTTTGTCATTGTTGGTACAGATGTAATGATTGCATTATCTGAACTTGTGTTAGCACACAGTCAAGTGCCTGTAGAGGAACAAACACTCCATCCAGATTCTTTTTAGCCTTGTGTTGAACAGCTGGACCTGATGTCAGGTGCCCTTTCTTTCCAGTTAACAAGAGAAAAGGAGAAATTGTGTGGCCCAAATAGTTGATAGTTAAAATAACATATTAAAGTAATAATGTAAAAATGCTTGGATATTAAAGGGAAAGGAAAGCTCACTGGATTTAAAATGCTAGTGCCATCCAATTAGTGTCACAATTTGGAACTCAATTTTTAATTTTAAATATTGGCTGGATAATTTAGTCATGTCGCCTTCCATTTTCTGTCTATGTAGAATATGGAAGCCATTTAAGTATAACCAGATGTATAATATTGTTGAGTTGGCTGGATAATTCAATGAGCTGGAGTACCAGGGGTTGGGGGTTTAACTCCCCACTGTACCTTGCAGAGGGAGAGTCAACCTGTGTAGCCTTGGGCAAGCTACACAGTCCTAGAGTACCTTCAACAGAAGGGAATAGTAAATTACTTCTGAGTAGTGAATACCTAGGAAACCCTGGAAATGGTCGCCATAAATCAAAATCATTGATTTATGGTGACCATTTATTGAGAGTATATATGAATAAAGCATGCTGTTTATGGTTTACAATTTAATTATGCAGGCTACACATCCCCCCCATGAGAAGTGTAATCAATTTATTGACCTCAGAAGGATAGAACACTGGACTAGTTGCAAAATAAAATCAGTGGGATATTTTTTGGATTTTTTACTTTTGAAAAAAAGAGGGGCTTATTTATAAAATAATACATAATATTAATAAAATGGGTAGAGATTAAGTTTTGTCCCTCTCATCATCCTCAAACCAGGACCCAGCTAAAACTGAATGTCTGAAGGTTCAGGATATACAAAAGGAAGTACTGGGTAACAGGATATAATTAAAATCTGAATGTGATAGACAGCTTTGGTGTCCGCCCTTTCTTTGACTCAGACAATCACATCCTTTGGAATGCTGTGAAGGGCAATTGAAGAGTGGAGATGGACAACCAGTTTGGATGTAGCCCAAGTCAGAGAATAATGTCTTGAGAGACTATGAATGTTGTGAGAATGAGAGGATGCAGCTTGAGGGTGGTGCAAATGTGAAGGGAGCAAAGGTAGATGTCAGAGGATGTTTGAAGCAGATACAAATGTAAGAACCAATGAAAATATTATGAATACATACATTAGTATGGCTTGTTTTTTTGTTCCAGACTTCTGAATAAAGTGCCCTGTTTTAAAGTTAGCTCCCACTTCAGTCAGTTTTATTTGGGGATCTATGGATTACTGCCATGCTGCCTTAGTGTGATTGAACAAAGTATGTATGATCTTATGTGACTGTGTGTAGTATAAGTTGATGGCAAGAAATACCTTTACAGGAGCTGCTGTCCCTGCTGCTATAATGTAGGCAGGCTTCAATGTGAATACAAATCTGGCCAGAAAAAAAAATACATCCCAGCAGCTGATATGAATGATTTGCTCCTGTACACAATGGGCTTGCTGTCTGATGGAACTACTGCATATATTCAGTGTTGACTGATCTCCTGTTGTAGCTGTTCCTCCTCCAAAGTGAATTGATGTGGTGGTACTGCAGAATATGCTGATAATTTGCCCACATCCATTATCATGTGGGCAGTCAACCTCCAGCAAGATACAGTATTTGTTCCCTTCCCTTCTGCCTTGCAGTCCTCTGCACTGTATGAATACTAGATCCAGAGGGTATCCCAGACTTCCAAAACAACTTTAGGGACTGCATACGGAGGTTGCAGTATGGAAGAGGGATCAGACCCTCCTTCTGCTGATATGGTTTCAGAATTATTTTGTTCTCTTGTCATAATTGTGCATAATTTACATATAATGTATAATCTCCCCTAGATAAATTTACATTAAAGGGCAGTATTGAAATTTATTGAACTCATAAATAAAATAAATTTTACTGTGATTGATCAATGTAGCTAGTGTTGTGTCTCATTTTTACATAACATAGTGATGATTTTATTTTCTCTAAATGTTTGGAAGAATACATTTGTGAGTGCTGCTCATAAATGTGCCACTTATCCAAATATATTAATTCCAAAACAGATAAGTAGTACAAATTGCCAGTAAGCCTTGGGGGTTTTATTTGCTTCTAGTACTGAATGAGGCTTCAAGTCCTTAATGTATGCAATGAGTTAGATCCAGACCCAGTCGACATATTTAGAGTAAACCTGTTGAAGTCAGTGGGGCTTAACAAGTATGAATGATGCCAGATCCAGCCTCAGCATGAATACTTGAAGGTTAGGATCCCAAAATTTGTAAAAGATACTTTTTTGGGTACGGCTATTATAATTGTTGTCCAAGAATAAGGCTTTTCTGGCATTTCTGGATTGTCTTTTCTGTAAGGCTTGTGTAATTGGCATTTCTGTAAAGCTTGTGTAATTTGTAGCAGCTAATTGACAAGGTCCAAGGGTGTGTCCCAGTCATGTGCCTGGTCACCCCAGCACCTCAACACTTAGTGACATCACGCTATGTGAATTCCAGTTGGATTCTAGCCCAGCCTGTTTTGATT